TTCTTTCTTCGTCCTTCTAAACAGCCATATCCACTGCAACAACGCCCAATCTGCTTTCTGCTTCTACTTTGTCCTACCAATCAGAGATCATTCTCTAATGCCTCCAACTGTGCATCATTCGCACAACATATTGGAAAAAACTGAAACTTTTCTCCAATCCCAACAAATGCTGCAATTCTTCATATTTCAGTTTTTCGAACCACTTTCTTTCTAACGTTCTTCGGAAAAGGAATAATGGATCTATCCCCACCATCTCTTACGCGGTTACCAACCCTTTTTATGCCAGGAGTGGCAAAAGTATGTCAACGATATCTTTATATCGTACGGCTTTGCCAGAGCGCTGGACACTGCTTACAAAGGAACTCCGAACATTCTGATCGTCCTCGATATCCCCTAAGTGGTTACAGTCATGTGATCAACTATATCTTGCACCGCAGATACGCCAAACAAAACCACTGAAATATAAAAAAGAACGAACCGTACAAATCCAACATGTTCACCATAATTCACCAGCACACGACTCAGACTTGGCCTGATACCTCTGGAGTCAAATGATTCCGGGACAGTTATCTGTCCTTCAATTTTGAAGCCCGACCTAGAAATTTCATCAGCGACTTCTGCAGCCGCATTTCCCTGCACGAACAAAAGCCATACCACCAATATCATGATCTGCAAAATATATATTCAGAGGACAATTAAAAACAGCACAAAATCATTCCGGCGTCTAAAAAAAACCAGTTCCCCGATTTGTCGTCCAAGGCACAACTGTGGAAGGAATTCCCGAAATTCCAACTTCCTAACTTAATTAAATGCTAAAATAGGCATATGAAAGCAAGGACCTCCAAAAGTGAGCAAGATATGAAACAGATAGTAAAGGAATTGGAAGTTAACGACAACGGTTAATGAACCGTGAGGAACAAAACCTTTTTTGGCAAAAATCAAAAAGCACAGAATATCGTATATTTAACAAAAAATAGAAGAAAATACAGAAAATCACGTCAAAAACACTGGATAAATTAGTTATTAGCAAGAGCTCGTCACAAATATAACAAATAAATCAGTAGCGAAAAAGATTAACAGGACCGAAAATATCATGACTTCGCGGACGTGGAACGCACCCCCAGAAAAGTGAATGAAAATAGCCACAGCATAAAATTAACAAACTACGGCAGTCACATCTTAACAAAATCGTCAAAACATACAAAGCGCAATGAGCGGCAGAGACAGTATTCGCGCAAAACCCTCATTTTTGAACCGTTAAGCCACAAAATCCATCGACCCT